CAAGCCTCGGTGTTGGGCCCGTACCTCGCTGGGCCAGTGAGCGGGGGCCGGTCTGTATGTGGGATCCGAACCCTCGGACGGGAGCGCCACCGCGCTTCCCAAGCGGCGCACTATCCAGTGCGCCACCGGGCCGGCCCCCTATCAACAATTTTTAATGAAATAAAATAAGGTAGAAAGTGTGAGAGTTCATTAGGGGGAATAGAATACATTGTAGCAAAAACTCTGGACAATTGTGTGAGTGATGTGAGAAGCAGAGGGGAGGAGATGTAATGAAAGTAGATATTGGTTAGAGATAGGTTTTTGTAGTACATATTTATGTATATGTGTCTAGATCTTGAAATACTGGTATTTCTTTAGCAGGTCATTTAAAAAATGTTTGGGGGGCTGGCCCAGTTGGTAAAAGCATGGTGCTGATGGCACCAAGGTCCAGAGTTCAATCCCTCTACCAGCCAGTGGCCCCCCCCAAAAAAATGTTTGAAAAACACTGCTATTGATTAATTGATAAGTATGCAGTAGGAATCCAAATTACCAGTAAATTGTACCTTTAGTGTGTTTGTTTTAAATATGTGACTTGGCACATTCATAGGGCATCAACCATTCAAGCATGATGTGTTCCATACAGAAAAGGAAGAAAGGCTTGATAGGATGAAGACACCAACCCAAAGACAAGGGAGATCAGGTGAGGACCAAGTGACTGGAAGTCCTCGTAGATGTTTGTCTACATGTTGTCCTTCTCTCCACCTCTGTTGCCGTCATCTGGTCCAAATTGCCAAACCTCTTTCCTGGTCTATTACAACAGCCTTTGTACGGGTTGCTCTGCTCCCACCCTTATAGTAAAATGTCAGTTCTCCGGGTCACAGCCAAAGTGATCCTTGGGAAATATAAGTCAGATTGGTATTCCTGTGCTCAAATCCCTTTGGGGCTTCTTATGTTTCTTAAAGTTGAAGCCTTGTAAAGTAGCTTATAGAGTCCTATGTGGTCTGCTCTTCATCCCCCACTGTCTCTCTGACCACATCTCCTATACTTTCCCTCTTGCTCAGTCTTTTCCAGCCACATTGTCCTCCCTACTGTTTGTCAGACCTGCCAAGGCCACCATATTTCCTGTTGTTGCCTTAATGAACTACCCTGAACTTAGTGGATTAACATAAACAACAAAAATGTACTCTTTCAGTTCTTTATGTTTGGAGTCCAATATGGGCTAAAATCAAGCTGTCAGCAGGTCTGCATTGCTTTTTGGAGGCCCTAGGGGAGGAAAATCTGTATCTTTACCTTTTCAGCTTCTAGGGGCTGCCAAATTTCTTAGCTGCTGGCCCCCTTCCTCCGCCTGCACAGCCCAACTTTGCTTTTCTTTGATGATTCTCCTGTAGTCACATTTCCCTCTTTCTGTCTTCTGTACCCCTCTTCCACTTACAAGGACCCTTTGATTACATTGGGCCCACCTGGATAATATAGGATAGTCTTCATGTTAGTCTTCTTCATATTACCAACCTTCACTCTATCTGCAACCTTAATTCTCCTTTGCCATGTAACCTGATGTATTCTTGGGCTCTGAGCATTAGGACATGGACTCTTTGGGGGACAGTTATTCTGCCTACTACAAGCACTTCTTCCTTGAAGCCCTATTTGCTCCTCTTTCTACCTGGAAAACTCTTTCGCGTAAAATCCTTCTGGCCTCTCCCTTACTTCATTCCGATCTCTGCTCAATTTTAATTTCACAAGCGAGGCCTTTTCTGACCACCTTATTGAAAATACCATCCTGTCTTTATTCTCTGCCCTGCCTTATATTGTGTCTCATAGATTTCTGGTTATGTGCTTTTCACCTCTCTCTCTCTATTGGAATGTAATGTCTAAGAGTGGTAGAATCTTGTCTGTTTTGTTTATTGCTCTGTCCTCAGGCATCTATAAATATGAGGGTAAATGGTAGGCATCTATAAATATGAGGATACTTCAAAAAGTTTGTGGAAAATGGAATTAAAAGATGATAAGGGGCCGGCCCGGTGGCGCACTGGAGAGTGCACCGCTTGGGAGCGTGGCGGCGCTCCCGCCGAGGGTTCGGATCCCATGTGGAGACCGGTTCCCGCTCACTGGCTGAGCACGGTGCAGGCGCAACACCGAGGGTTGTGATCCCGTTGCCGGTCCCCGGTGCGGGCGCGACACCGAGGGTTGAGATCCCGTTACCGGTCAGTAAAAAAGACAAAAAGGAAAAAAAAAGATGATAAGAATCCTTCCATGAACTTTTTGAAGACCCCTTGTATTTGTTGACATAATAAATGTGTTAATGGCTGGGAGGACCTCACTGTCTCCAGAAATCTTAGAGATAGCTGATAGGTCATACATAAATCAGTGAATGAGGATGTTGCAGAACAGTATTTGTTTTCTGATGGCTGCCTGTCCAATTCCAGTTTCCTTAGGTGTCCTTGGTGTGATTGTGTGTGCGTGCACATGCGCACTTGACCCACATCTCAGGGAAACTTGTAAGCACTGTGGTTGTGACCACACTGACTAACATGCCTTCCTAGTGGCTTTCCTGGTGCCTTTTATAGGGAGTATGTTCATTTCTAGGAAGAAATCCTTTTTTTGAATGAGGATTCTGATGTCTAATTTTTAGTTCCCCATACAAGGAAAAAAGATCTATTTCCTATGGTGTCAGACAGAAACCAGGTTGCAACCTGCCTTCCCTTAAACGATCTGCCTGTCTGTAGCCCATTCACTTCTTCCAAAGTGCCCGCCCACATCACTGTCCCCAGGTTTTCCCTCCCAGTGGTAGAGAGGGGGAAGATTTAAGATAAGAATGATAAGTCATGCTGCTGAATGTTGCCTATGTCTCTGGTTCAAAAATATGTTGTGCCTTTATTTTTCACAAATTTAGCTATTAAATTTTAAAGAGGATTTCATACAGTCTTTTCTTTATTTTTATAAAGACCTATATTTTATTTTCAACTAATTAATATTATAACCTGGGAAAAATCAGGAAACTTCCCACTCAAAATTGTCACATCCTCAGCGAGACTCACTGTCCCCTTCAAAAACTGCTAGTTTTAAAGGTTCAAGTTGTTAAATATAATCATTAACTACAAGAGGTACATACTCAACTATTAATATTTTTCCAAGGTGCCACCCTTGGAAATAACCTTTCCATTTGAATAGTTTGTTTAATTAAGGTTTGGGTAACTTCTAGAACCAAAGTTTTCGGGCTTTTTTGAGCATAACAAGAAATACATTTTTCATTGCAAACAGAACAAATATTTCACATGTCTGCAGACTTACATGTGTGGCTTTAGTGGGAATTTCACATAATGATCCCTTTCCTGCTGATAATGCTCTGATAGTTTCTATCCTGGTTCTTTTTTTTCTGAATGCTTATTACAACATTTTAAACTTATTTTATAGCTCACTAAAGGGCTGCAGTTTTCCATTTGAAAAACTGTGTGGAAGGCCAATTTATCTATTGCCAAAGCTTCAGAAGGAACCAGGGTATAGGCCCTCCTCCTCTCTTTTCACTCCAAGTGATTCTCACCACCTTTGATTTTTCTCATTAGCGTCACCCTTGGTGTACCCCTGTGTCTGGTATGGCTTTTCAACTTCACCCAAAATTGCACTTTCCTGTCCATTTCATATCGTAAATAATTTACTTGGAAAAGATGTTTTCCTTTTAGGACTTGGCATAAACTCTCATTAAAAAATCAGACGGCGGGGGGGCTGAGCCTGTGGTGCACTTGGGAGAGTGCAGCGCTTGGGAGCACAGCAGCTCTCCTGCCATGGGTTTGGATCCTATATAGGGATGGCCTGTGCGCTCACTGGTTGAGCGCGGTGCAGTCGACACCAAGCCAAGGGTTGTGATCCCCTTACCGGTCACGAAAAAGACAAAAAAAAAAAAAAATCAGACGGATTTATTTGCACTTCTACATGTAGTTGTGGAGCACTCCCTGTGACAGGCACTGTTCTGGACGATGGTTTTAAAGTAGGAAAGTGTAAGATGTGTATAGTGTCCAAAATGTGGAACGTTGATACTGCGTTCTGGTGGGAAAGACATACATTAAACAACCAATGACTTTGTTGTTTAGTGTATCAGATGGTAAAAAGTTCTGTGAAGAGTTTAAATAAGTTCAAGGAGGATAGAATATGCCAGAGGTGAATTGGGTGAGGACAGGATTTATACGTTGATACTGCGTTCTGGTGGGAAAGACATACATTAAACAACCAATGACTTTGTTGTTTAGTGTATCAGATGGTAAAAAGTTCTGTGAAGAGCTTAAATAAGTTCAAGGAGGATAGAATATGCCAGAGGTGAATTGGGTGAGGACAGGATTTATAATTTTCCCTGAGTGATAAAGAAGGCCTCATTGGTGAGCTCACATTGAGCAGAGACTTGACTTAAAAGACCTGAGGAGCCGTCCATGTCACTGTCTGGAAAGAGTTCCTGCCAAATACAGCTCTTGCTCTAGGGCTGGCTTTCAGAGTTCACACTGTGGCCTCATCTGTCCTTCTCACAGACCCCATCTCAGTTGTAAAAGATTAGCTGCCACTTTTTCACTTTTTTATCCTGGAGATCTGAATTACTGTCAGGTTTTAGAACAACGTATGTTAAAAATTCGACTTTGATTCCCTTTTGTCCTCATGAAGGTGACTTGCTGGCAGGAGCTACAGTTCCACTTTCTGCTTATGTACTCGATTTTAGTCAGTATGTGGTTAGATATTTGCTAACAATCTGCAAATCAAGTTAACCATTCCACTCACGTAGACACTGAAGTAGCTTTACAATAAAATGATCCAAGGCAGAGTTACATAGAAGCTGTTTATCAAATATCTACTGAAACAGAGGAGGAAGCAGCTTTTAATTGACCTGCAGAGAGGGAAGTGGATTTTTCCCCTGCAAAAATTACCTCAGGAGTACTTTATAAACTTTAATTGGATGGCTGGCTGGTTAGCTGACGTGGGAGAGTGTGGTGCTGATAAACACCAAGGTCATGGATTTGGATCCCCATACTGGCCAGTTGCCAAAAAAGAAACAAACTTGTAAGTAAAGAGTTCATTGAAAAAATTATCTCCAAATGTTTAGATATCTTTGTATAAATTTAGAAACTTTGGAATATTAATAAGGATAAACCTTTTAGAAGACACATTTCTAAATTTAAATTATATTAGAAGTGGTCAAGAATTTGTAATAGTTGCCAACTCGTTTAATGTCTATCAACATGGAAAAATAAGATTAGGTGTACATATTGTGCAGAATATCCAGGAATACTTTGAATATGTAAATATAAATATTTCAAGGTATTTGATAATCAGATATATAACATGAACCCAAATTTCAAAGTATTTGATTATTTTGCTGCTTTTTCTTAAAATTCTTGTTGATTCATATTTTAGTTTCTACATGATTTTTATATCTACGTAATTTATTAACTACATAATTTACTATGCATGATTCTACACTGACTTTGATATTTCATAGAAATGGCAGTAGGTTAACAGTTTGTATCATATTATCAATTTTTAAAATTAAGTGTTTGACTTCTAACTTGTACCTCACATAGGAGACTTGGTATGGTGTCCTAAGTCTCATTAATGCTTAGTGGATAGCAGCCAACTATACCACCTCTTGGTGACTCTAGGCATACAAACCAAAGACCATGATATACAATGGAAAAGACAAACTGAACCTTCTCTGGATTCATTAAAATCTCCTGCTCCCTCCTAAGTATGAAATCTTGAAAACTCTGAACAGAGCCATCAGTTGTCCACATCTCTGAATTCTCTGTCTTTGCAGCAGACAAGATCCAAAGTGAGACGGAGACTGTCCCAGATGCAGGACCACATGAAGAACTTTCCTTCAGGCAAATCTGGCAACAAATCACAAGTGACTTAACCAGATCTCAAGACGCCATGACAAATAGCTCTCAGTTCCCCAAGCAAGGTGATTCACCCTGCCAGCTTGGGACAGGACTGTCTATAACTCCCACAGGCCAGAAATTTTACCAGTGTAATGAGTGTAAAAAATCCTTCAGTGATATCTCCAGTGTTGATCTTCATCAACAGTTACATTCAGGAGAGAAGTCTCATACATGTTGTGAATGTGGAAAAAGCTTCTGTTATAGTTCAGCTCTTCGTATCCATCAGAGAGTTCACATGGGAGAGAAATGCTATAAGTGTGATATGTGTGGTAAGGAATTCAGTCAGAGCTCACGTTTGCAAACTCATCAGAAAGTCCACACTGTAGAGAAACCATTCAAATGTGAGCAGTGCGGGAAAGGCTTCAGTCGTAGATCAACACTTACTGTTCATTGCAGATTACACACAGGAGAGAAACCTTACAATTGTGGGGAATGTGGGAGGGCCTTCATTCATGCTTCTCATCTTCAGGAACATCAGAGAATCCACACTGGGGAGAAACCATTCAAATGTGATACATGTGGTAAGAATTTTCGTCGCAGATCAGCACTTAATAATCATTGCATGGTCCACACAGGAGAGAAACCATACAAATGTGAGGACTGTGGGAGGTGTTTCACTTGTAGCTCAAATCTTCGTATCCATCAGAGGGTCCACACAGGAGAGAAACCATATAAGTGTGAAGAATGTGGTAAGTGCTTTATTCAGCCTTCACAATTTCAGGCCCATCGGAGAATCCACACTGGAGAGAAACCATATCTGTGCAAAGTTTGTGGTAAGGGTTTTATTTACAGTTCAAGTTTTCAGGCCCATCAGGGAGTACACACTGGAGAGAAGCCATACAAATGCGATGAGTGTGGAAAGAGCTTTAGGATGAAAATTCATTATCAAGTTCATCTGGTGGTTCACACAGGAGAGAAACCCTACAAGTGTGAGGTATGTGGGAAAGCCTTCCGTCAGAGTTCATATCTTAAAATCCATCTGAAAGCACACAGTGTAGAGAAACCTTATAAGTGTGAGGGGTGTGGGCAAGGCTTCAATCAGATTTCACGACTTCAGATTCACCAGCTGATCCATACGGGTGAGAAACCGTACAAATGTGAAGAGTGTGGAAAGGGATTCAGTCGTAGAGCAGATCTTAAAATTCATTTTAGGATCCACACAGGAGAGAAACCATATAATTGTGAGGAGTGTGGGAAGGTCTTCAGTCAGGCCTCACATCTTCTGACCCATCAGAGAGTCCACAGTGGAGAAAAGCCATTCAGATGTGAAGAGTGTGGGAAGAGCTTTGGTCGGAGTGCACACCTTCAAGCCCATCAAAAAGTTCACACTGGAGAAAAGCCTTACAAATGTGAGGAGTGTGGGAAGGGCTTCAAGTGGAGCTTGAATCTTGACATGCACCAGAGGGTCCACACGGGAGAGAAACCATATATGTGTGGGGAGTGTGGGAAGCGCTTCAGCCAAGCCTCAAGTCTTCAACTTCATCAGAGTGTCCACACTGGAGAGAAACCGTACAAATGCGATGTGTGTGGTAAAGTCTTCAGTCGGTCTTCACAACTGCAATATCATAGTCGAGTTCACACAGGGGAGAAACCTTACAAATGTGAGGTATGTGCTAAGAGCTTCAGCTGGAGATCAAACCTTGTAAGTCATCACAAAATTCATGCTGGGGATACAGTTTATGAAAGTGATGAGAGTGATAAGAACAGAGAATTGTCAGAGGAAGGAGGTTCTACAAATTCATATTTTAAAAAAAATTCATGTTCAACCTGAATTCTTGTGATCATCAGGTTTAATAGGGGAGAATGTATTTGTTTTATTTAAGTCAGTGTCTAACCAATAGATCAACATAGCCCAGTGGTCCAGAGACCACATAGCTGAGAACCTTGTTGGTAGTGCAGTAAGGGCTTCGGTCAGAACTTTGACATTTATCAGATGTCACTTAGGATATAGGGCTTAGAAAGGAAAAGTGTTTAGACTTGACTTTAACAAAAGTATAGTGATGGGCATGCCACAATTGATGTCCACTAGACTGTAAGCTCCATGGGGGCAGGCACTTTGCTGTTGAATCTATACAACCTTAACACTGACTGGTGCTTATGGGTGTGCTCAGTACTTGTTTAAGTGGATCAAAAGAAGAAAATATACAGTATTTGAATATTGTATCCAACGGAGGAAACCTGCAAAATAAAATTATTCAGGGAAATGGACATTTGTTAAAATGCAGAAAACCACTGGAGACTGCAATTGCAATATTTTTTCTAAATTTTATTTAGTTTTCATTGTACCTGTTTGTGGAGTGCAGTTTGTTGTTTCAATACATGCATATATTGTATAATGGTCTAATCAGGATAGTTAGCATATCTGTCACCTAAACATTTATCCTTTCTCTGTGGTAATAACATTCAAGATCCTTTTTTCTGGCTATTGTGAAATACACAATTCAATATTATTAGCTATTGTCACCCTAGGGCACCAGAACTTATTTTCTTATCTAACTGTAACTTTGTATCAGTCTACCAACCTTTCTCCGGCTGCCTGTACCTCCTTTTCCCTGCTTCAGGTAAGCAGTCCACAATATTAATTGCTTTTTAAAATATTTTTTGTGTGTGTGTGTGGCTGGCCAGTAAGTGCAATATTAATTGCAATTTACCCTATTGCAATTGACACCTGTCCTACCTCCAGCCTCTGCTCTCAAGTTGGGTTCTTATTATTTGGGGCCCTGTCTAGTTTTCCAAAGGTTTATACAGTATAAATTGAACTATCTTTTGTGATTTTCCCAACAGTAGAGACTAAAAAAGTTTTACTAACCTTATGACAAGTTACTGAATATTACACAGTTGAATTTTTATCCATTAATATTAAGGCAGGGGTTTACTGTAGCACTTTGAAAATATCAGAAGTAGTTACCAATACAAAAGTTTTCTTTCATGACCTTGAATTTATTATTGATTTGTAATTCTCTGCATTTTTATCCAGACTTTGAAATGATTGCCTTCTAATTACTGTAGCATTCTCTTATCAAAATTTCTCAGGTTTCGGGTGGCCAGTTAGCTTAGTCAGTAGAGCATGATGCTAACACCAAGGTCAAGGGTTCGGATCCCAGTGCCGGCCAGCATTGTTACCCACACTCATGAAGCAAGTACCAAAAAAACTTGTGTAAGTTTGATAATTTTATCAAAGGTATTAGTTGGGGCAGGATTGACATTTATATGCTTTTCCCTATTGGTAGCAGTAAAGCACCATTTGGGGAAAGGAGTATATATCAGTATATAGGTTGTACATTTCTTTGATTGGGAAATCATATCATTGGAATTTATGATTATGAGATTTAAATACCAAAAAGATAAGTAGCGTATTGATGATGTCACTGAATTTTTAAAAATGGAAGCCTGCGTTGTTCTATAGGAATTTGAGTTTTAATATTAATTCCTGTATTACCCTGAAGCCATTAGAATGATTGGCAGATATCTGTAATGACAGGAGAAATACATAATATGGGCTTTGAGAGATCATAGATTATAGCTGTATGAGTATATAGAAAAAACAAAGTGTTTTTCCTGGACTCTTGCTCAACAACAATCAACACAGAAGACAGACTTCTGTGACCAAATGTGTGGGCATTTCTCCTCACCAGCAAGCAAGCATTTTCTCAGCAGACACCCACTGGATGTCCTGTAATTCAATTCCAGCACTATCTACCTGGAGACAGTGTTAGATCCCACAAGTTGAGGGTTCAGTCCCCAAGGCTGCACCCCTCCCTTTTCAGATGCCAGTCGAAAGTCCAGGCCTCTGGAACTTCTGAGAAGCCAACTATAAATCAGGGTTCCCACGACCCCCTCCTTGGGTCCTTGAGTTCAATTAGTTAGCTTGAATGGCTCACAGAACTCAGGGAAACACTTATGTTTACTAGTTTATTGTAAAGGATATTACAAAGGACACATATGAAGAGATGCATAGGAGGAGGCATGCGGGTAGGGATGCAGAGCTTCCATACCCTCCTTTGGCATGCCACCCTCTGGGCACCACCATGTGTTCAGCTGTCCAGGAGGTTTCATTACATAGGCATGATTGATTAAATCATTGGCCACTGGTGATCAGCTTAACTTTCAGTCCCTCTGCCCTCCTTGGAGGTTGGGGAGTGGGACTAAAGTCCCGCATCGATCTTTTCCTGTGAACAGCCCTCATCCTGAAGCTACCTAGGAGCTGCCAGCCATCATTAGCATATGAAAAGACATCTCTTTAGAGAGTAAGGATTGTAGGAGTTGTATGTCAGAAGACAGGGATGAAGACCAAATATATTCACAATATTAAAGTAGGCTTTCTAGTATAATCAAAGTCAAATCTTTGTGACTGTATGTGTGTACATACATAAGACAATGTATAAAGGGATACTTTATTGATTAGCAATAAGCATTTTGTGATATTTTACCATTTTGTAGTTCCATAAATTGTTTTATTTTTTATTGAACATCAGTATTACCAAAGTAGTAGGTTATGTGCAGTAGTATTTGGGAAAGTTCTCAATAATAGTCTCTTATAGTTAAAGCCTCAAAATATGGTTGCTTTTTTTATTGAACATTAGTATTACCAAAGTAGTAGGTTATGTGCACTAGTATTTGGGAAAGTTCTCAATAATAGTCTCTTATAGTTAAAGCCTCAAAATATGGTTGCTCTATATTGTTATATGGCACATAAAGTCAAAATTAAGTAATGGACTCTGGAAGCCAGTTTCAAAAACAAAAACAAAATTCTCTGGTTCTTTGAATAGACAGATAAATTGATAACTATCTTTGCAATTAATGCATGCTACACATTTTTTAAATTAAAAACATTTTTTTTATTGAAACAGTTGATTGTACATATCTGTGAGGTACAGCATTGAATATCAATACCTGTGTGCTATATGTGGTGCTCAAATCAAGATAATTATTATATTCAACATTATACAATGAAATTGATTTTCATGGCCCTTTACCAATTCCTCATTTACTCCCCTCCCCCTCCCCCTTCCCCACCTCTGGTAACCTCTCCTTTTGAAAGTTCAACGAATTATTGTGATTGTTGTATGTTTCTTCCTTTCTTTATTTTTAGATCCCACTTATAAGTAATGACATGCAGTATTTCTCTTTCTGGGCCTGGATTATTTCATTAAACATAATTTTCTCTAAGTTCATCCATGTTGCTGCAAATGGCAGTATTTCTTTTTTATGTCAGAGGAGTATTCCATTGTGTACATATACCTCATTTTCCTTATCCAGTCGTCCGATGATGGACATTTAGGTTGGTTCCATATCTTGGCTATTGTAAACAGAGCTGTAGTAAACATGGGAGTGCAGGTATCCCTTCAACATGATGATTTCTATTCCATATCCAGCAGTGGAATTGCTGGATCTTATGGCAGTTCTATCTGTAGTTGTTTGAGGAACCTCCATACTGTTTTCCATAAAGGCTGCACCAATTTACAATCCCACCAACAGTGTTGGAGTGTTCCCCTTTCTCTGCATCCTTGACAGCATTTGTTATTGTCAGTCTTTTTGAAAATAGCCAGTCTACTGGGGTAAGATGATATCTCAAATGTTTTTTTTTTTTGTGTGTGTGACTGGTAAGGGGATCGTTAACCCTTGGCTTGGTGTCGCCTGCACCGCGCTCAGCCAGTGAGCACACCGGCCAGCCCTATATAGGATCCGAACCCGCGGCCTCGGTGCTCCCAGCGTGGCACTCTCCCGAGTGAGCCACAGGGCCGGCCCTCAAAGTGGTTTTGATTTGCATTTCCCTTATGCTTAGTGATTTGAACATTTTTTCATGTGTCTGCTGGCCTTTTGTATATCTTCCTTTGAGAAATGCCTATTCATCTCCTTTGCCCATTTTTTAATTGGGTTATTTGTTTTTTTACTGTGAAGTTGTTTGAGTTCTTGTATATTCTGGATATTAATCCCTTGTCGGATGCATAGTTTACAAATATTTTCTTCCACCTTGTAGGTTGCCTTTTTGCTCTAATTGTTTCTTTTGCTGTGCAAAAGCTTTTTAGTTTGATATAATCCTATTTGTTTATTTTTCCTTTTGTTGCCTCTGCTTTTGGGTTCATATTCTTTGCCCAGTCCTACTTCCTGAAGTGTCTGCCTTGTTTTCTTTGAGGTTTTTTATCCTTTCAGGTCTTATATTTAAGTCTTTGATCGATTTTGAGTTGATTTTGATATACAACGAGAGGTATGGGTCTAGTTTCATTCTTCTATGTATGGATGTCCAGTTTTCCCAGCACCCTTTATTGAAGAGGCAGTCTTTCCCAATGTATGTTCTTGGTTCCTTTGTCAAAGATCAGTTGGCTGGAAGTATGTGAGTTGATTTCTGGGTTCTCCATTCTGTTCCATTGGTCCATGTGTCCATCTTTATGCCAGTAACATGCTGTTTTGATTACTGTAGCTTTGTAGTATTGTTTGAAGTCAGGTAGTGTCAAGTCTCTGGCTTTATTTATTTATTTACTTATTTATTTTGCTCAGGATTTCTTTGGCTATTTGGGGTCTGTTGTTGTTTCATGTGAATGTTAGGATTGTTTTTTCTATTTCTGTGAAGAATGTCATTGGTATTTTGATGAGGATTGTGTTGAATCTGTAGATCACTTTGGGTAGTATGGACATTTTCACAATGTTAATTCTTCCAATCCAAGAGTATGGAATATCTTTCCGTCTTTTTGTGTCCTCTTTAATTTCTTTCAACAGTGATTTGTAGTTCTCATTGTAGAGATCTTTCACCTCCTTGGTTAACTTTCTTCCTAAGTGTTTTTGTTGTTGTTGTTGTTGTTGTTGTTGTTGTTGTTATTGACTATTGTAAATGGACTAGCTTTCTTGATTTCTTTTTCTGCTAGTTTTTTGCTGAAGTATAAAAATGATAGTGATTTGCTATTGATTTTGTATCCTGCAACTTTACTGAAATAGTTTATCAACTCTAAGTGTTGTTTTTTAGAATCTTTAAGCTTTTCTATGTATACAATCATGTCATCTGCAAATATGGACAATTTGACTTCATCTTTTCCAATCTGGATGCCCTTTATTTCTTTCTCTTGCCCTGTTGCTTTGTGTGGCACTTCCAATACTGTGTTAAATAGGAGTGGTGAGGGTGGGCATCCTTGTCTTGTACCTGTTCTTAAAGGAAAAGCTTCCAACTTTTCCCCATTTAGGATGATATTGGCAGTGGGTTTGTTGTATATAGTTTTTATCATGTTGAGATACTTTTTGTCTATACCTAATTTGCTGAGAGTATCATGAAGAGATGTTGAATTTTGTCAAA